GTAATTTACAGAAATATCAGGTCACAATGGATAGTATACAACAGGTTTTGTCCCATTTAAATAAAATCTACAGACCTTTTTCATAACAGTAAAGCCCTATAGTAAACCAAACTGGACCAGTGCACGGCCATAAGCTCTACCATGCAATGGTCCATACTCCCTAATTAGTGTGACACTCCCTTGCACAACCTGGCCAGCTAGCACTTCGCCAGGTAGTCTGAGGACAGTTCAGGGAACAGCATCAGACTGTTTTCACTATGCAGTATGAGTGAAACCCCTTGAAGCTCACATATGGCATCTAAATGGATGCTACGTGTGAGCAACACTCTGTCCCTTGCCTTGCAGGGACAGAGATTGAGCTTGGTCCATTTTATTTATCAACACAGACAGACTTTAAAGGTATTTCATAAGCCAAGGAAGGTCAGAGTCTCATTAATTATTAATTGCTGTGCTTAGTTATAATTAGCATTTGAAACCTGCTGAAATCAAATGGGAATGGATACTGTCACTTACTCCTAAGTAAATTGTACCTTCAGTGAGAGGTTGTCCTACTGAATTCAGTATGGGCCTGGGATTCAGCTTATGATTAGTGGTCTACTCTAAGACCTTTGAATTTACTGAAAATACAGCATACGAGTCTCTTCACTTCATAACAAGTGATCTTCACGCATGTGGCTGAAGTCTGCTTGACACAGCTGTGTAAGTCAGGGGTGTCAGCCCCACTCCTCCCATTTCTGGTGGCTATCAAGGCCAGCAAAAGCCCTAGTGTAGATGCTGTAATACTAGTAATAGTTCAGAGAAACCCCCTTATCTCCGCAACCAAAAGAAATCTTCTGCTTGCATTTGCAGGGTTTGCTGAGTTAGGTCTCTTGATCCATCTACTGGGAAATGCTATTCAGTGTAGACAAGGCCCAAATTCAAACTGAATAATAAAAGTGATTTAAATTTCTCATAACACAAACAAGGCTCTTTTCCCAAACGTACTGCTTCTCCTTAACAGTGAAAGATCTTCATCACACATGTCCTGCAGCCTGTTGTTCTTTCCAGATATGGGATTTTGCTGGGAAGTTGTGACACACTGTTTGTGGGAACACTTGCCAGCTGAGCAATGCTTTCACTACTGCTCACCACACTCCTTAAACACACATGCTAATTATATTACAGGCTGTCTGTATGGAGCTATATGAGGCTACAGTATTTTCCTAGGAACCACAGTGAAGAAGTCAGCATGTGCCTTCAGTTGTGTTAGCTGTGCATCTGCTGTGACCAGAGTTTCTGTTGACAAATAATGACAACCTCATTAAGCATTTGCCCTAGAGGTGTTTGTGGTGCTCAGAAGTGCTCATACTTCAGGGTTATCACTGAATGCCTTTTTCAGCACCAAGGAGTTGGTGAGGAAAATGTTCTTATTTAAATTAGAAGAAAACTGAGCATGGATAAAAAAAGGTAGGTTTAATGCCATATACAATTAACCTGGTACACCACAAATGGCTGACCTCCAGCTGGACTTCATGTCATTGATCACAACCCTTTAAGCCCAGAAGTTCAGTCAGTTTTCAATCCACTTCATTGTCCTTTTAGCTAGTCCGCACTTCAGTTTGTCTATGAAGATGTTATGGGAGTCTGTCAAAAACCTTGCCAAAGTCAAAATAAACAACATCCATTGCTCTCCCCTCATCCACCAAACTAGTCATTTCATCGTAGAAGGTAATCAGGGTAGCTGAGCACGATTTTGTCTTTGTAAATTTATGCCAGCTACTTCTAGTCACTTTCTTGTCCTTCATGCATTTGGAAACGGTTTCCAGGATTATTTGCTCCATCGTCTTCCCAGGCATCAAACTGAGGCTGACTGGCCTGTAGTTCCTCAGATCCTTCCTCCTTCTTGCTCTTCTGAAAGACAGGACTGACATTTGCTTTTTCTAGTCCTCAGGAAGCCTTCCCCACTCCGCCCGCAATCTGATCCTGCTCTTCTGAGGGTAAGTCTTCACTGCTCCTGACTTTCCCACGGGTCTCAGAGGCCTGGGATTCCTGAGGCAAATCTTACCAGGGAAGACAAAGGTGAAGACGCCAATGAGTACCTCTGCCTCTTCCATGTCCTTTGTCACCAGATCCCATTTGTGAACTCATTTCTATTATGAAATACAACAGCATTTACAATGACATTAACAGGACGAAAATCACAAGGACAACAATAACTCTTAGATAATCATTGGCTGAAGTCAGATAGATACTTCTTCTTGAGACATGATAATAACTACTTGCATTATTATGACCACTTCTCCCTCTTCTCAAAAACACCAAGTTCAGGAAAGTGTCAGAAGACCTATGAAGCTACACTGGCATTGGTCTTTTCAGCTACAGAGGCTGATAAGTTCTCTTCTGAGTGCATTGTTCCATCTGCTTTTAAGTATAAATATAAAACAATGACGTAGAGAAAAGAACAGGTCTGAAACAAAGTAGCTGGAATAATTTGCATATGCTAATTTCTGAAATCAGTGATAGCTCATTTGCACTTACAGGATAAATACCAAAACTGCATACAGCCTGGCTGAACAGCTCTTTCTTCCATAGCACAAAGAGGTAATATGGATCACGGCAGGTGTAAAGAGGAATAGCAAAGATACATAACGATACGAGGTGATCTTCATTTCTGGCTACGATATTAATGTGATTACTGATCATGTCCTTTCTGGTGTCCATACTTCAGAAAGGACACTGAAAAAGACAGAGGTGGTTCAGCAAGAAACCATAATTTTAATTACAGAAAATATATCTTGAAGTAAGAAACTGGAGGATTTTGTAAATTTTCAAGATGACCAGAGCTGATCTGAGACACCCGACTAGTCTGTTGGTAGTGTACATGGGGAAAAAAATATCGGATATTAGCAGATACTGTAATCTACAGCAAAATAGCACGGTGAATTCTGTGAGTGGAAACTAAAATTAAAATACGGGAAATGAGAAACAGCATCGGGCATGATTTTCTGGGGCTTACAAGTATCACTGCTAGCCTCCACCTCCTACTCCCCATGACAGTGTGACCTTTTGCATTCACAGTGCAGCGCAGCAGCTTCTTTCTTTCTTCTCAGCATCACATGCCTGCCATGAGGGCAAAAAGAAGACATGGTGCCAGGCACAGACAGAAGGCATTTGTTTTTTCTCCATTCTCAATCCTCTGCTACAGGCATGCCACTTTCACAGAACTCATTCTCATCAGTAGTCTCTGCTCCTGAACAATATGTTAATTTATTACTGAAGAGTAAATGGTGGGAGATGTGGCTATCTGTCTGAAGGACAAATTTTAGTAGTTCTGTTACATTGTTGAATCCAGTGGAGAAACCACCAAGTGACTGGCCTCTGTTATGCAGATGAGACTAATTAAAAAGGGTCCTGTTTCACCTGAATATTTCTGTGGGAAATACCCACAGTGGCAAGGCTCTCCTGGAACATCATTTGGAGTTCTAAGCCTCAAGGCTTCCTGGAAACCAGATTCAAGGCCTCTCAACCTGGACATTCAAAACTGCAAGCACTCAAATGCCCTGCCTGCTGTGTAAAGCCCAGTCCTCATGCTTGGTCATATTGAATTATCTGGGGCACTTGGGCAAAGAGCTGTAAAAGAGCTCTGCTGGAGGCAGGGTGTTGACCAGATGTGTGCAACTTTCAGATAAAGAAGAGCGTGCTACCTCATCCTGCAACGTGTCTGAGGAAGGGAAGCCAGCCGTGATCTTCCCATGCTTCAGTTTCTAGTCACTGACAAGGCTTAGCTCATGCATCTTCCAAACAAGTCTAAATTTTACAACCCACTGACCTCATAATTAAATAGACTTTAAGGCTCAAAGCTCCTGTGAAAGTCATCTCATATGGTATCTGGTAACCCTGTATTGATCCCTGTGCCAACGGATGTAGATGGACCCAGCGTGTGCAATTCTGTTGCTACGGGGGTTTTGCGACTGCATGTTGACCAGTGGCTAGCCATTGAAAATGGATCATATGAAGTCACAAATCAGGCTCCTTTATGCTATGGAGGGCAAAAAAAAAGCTCCCTGTTGCTCCTTTACATGTACTAAAATAGGAAATTATTGTGCAGAGGCGGCTCCAGGTGGCTGGTGCTGTGACTGCTCTCCTATGACCAACCAGCTGCACATTTCTCAAGGCTTCTAACGCTGAAAACACACGCCAGCCCTTTGCTCTGCAGTCAGATGGGGAACCAGCTCAGAGGGTCCCAGGAGCTGGGCAACACTCAGTTTTACCAGAGGATGACGGAGAGGGAGGGGGCCAGGTTTGGGCTCAGAGTGGAGCACCCCGTAAAGCCGGATTTCCACCAGAACCCAGAGAGACCAAAGGCTGGCCTTTTAAAAGGTTGGAGGCACAAAGTTTGAGCTGTGCCGCAGCCGCCCGAAAAACGTTGGCGAGCGTCGCCAGCCCCCGTCGGTGCGGCCGCCTCAAGGCCGCC